TGCATCTCTCTTAGAGCTAGGGATTTTGAACATTTCTTCATGTGCTTGTTGGCCATCTGAATGTCTTCTTTGGTGAAGTGTCTGTTCATATCCTGTGCCAATTTTTCAATTTGATTGTTTACCTTTATCCTGTGGTGCTTTTTTTTTTTCAAACTGCTTCTATGCATGGGATTATGGATCCAAGTAAAATGAAATTGTTGACAACTTCAATTTTTTTCTTCATCTCTCATGATGTTACCTATTGGTCCAGTGGTGAAGATTTTTGTTTTCTTTATATTGAGATAAAATCCATATGGAAGGGTATAGTCTTTGATATTCAAGTCCTCTTCATTTTCTTCAAGCAATAATTCATTATCTGCATAATGCAGATTATTGATTAGTCTTCCTATAATCCTGATGCCACATTCTTCATAAAACCCAGCTTCTTGAATGGTTTTCTCATCTTACATATTGAACAAGTGTGGAGAAAGGGCACAATCTTGACACACATTTTTCCTGATTTTTAAACCATGCAGAGTTTCCTTCTCTGCTAGGAAAACAGCTTCTTGGTCTGAGTATAAGGTTTTACGTGAGTACAACTTTGTGTTCTGGGATTCCCATTCTTCTGACTAGCAACTATAATTTATTGTTATCCACACAGTCAAATGTCTTTGCATAGTCAATAAACCACAAGTAAGCATCTTTCTGATACTCTATGTTTTCAACCAAGATCTATCTAGCAGTGGTGGCTGTTTAGCAATGATATCCCTTATTAATATGGCCTCTTCTGAATCCACCTTGAATTCCTAGCATTTCCCTGTCAATGTAACTAACATTTCAGCTGTTTTTGAATAATCTTCAGCAAGATTTTACTTGCATGTGATATTAATTAAATTGCTTGATAAGTCCAGATTTTGTTGCATTATCTGTTTTTAGAATAAGATGAAATACAATGGTATAGAGTAGGCTATATTACTGGCTTATTCTTTGCTAAAACCCCCCAAAGTTTTGAGAGCCAAAGCAAGCCAGCAGACTCACACAATTAATGTTTCCCTTCAAGAACTGTCATCTCTTGAAATGTCCAAAGTATATAAGATTAGGTTTCACTATCTTTGCCTCTCAGGAACATTCTGACTGAACTTCTTCCAAGTGCAGATAAAAAAAGATTTATTTTATTTCCTCCCCCACCCCCACCCCCATCTATGATTTGCTAAAACTCCTCACATATGTTTACTCATATGAGACAGTTTTGGAATTGAATAGTTTTGGTGATAGGCTAATGAATTGTTTTATGTGCAGGAGGTGAGACCCTTTTCATTGGAATGGCACTTCTGGAGAACTATACAGATGTGGAGGTAGAAGTCTACGTCCAGGACACCCGGGCTCAACTTCATGCACAGACAGCTCAGGGCTTGGAGGTTGTGCTGCCCGCCCTGCCAGCTGGAGTCCAGAGGATTTCTGTTTCCATCAATGGGGTCAACATTCACTCCCAAGGGTGAGGCGAACACTTTCTACTTTAGGTCTATTGAATGGTTTAGCATTTTTCTTGGAGAATTCTAGTTATTGAGTTAGATATTTCTTTCTTTCCTCTCTAATTTAGGGGCTACATATAACAATTGTAAAATTAGAATAATTCTGAGAGGACTTGTGGGATCCATACTCCCAATAGGATCCAAAGGCTTATTACTGGGGGATAGGGAAATTCCTGGAGATAAGATTTTCTGGTTCTTGACTAGTACTGTTGGGGTGGGTATGTACATGTGAGGAAGGGAAGAGTTTGTACTATCAGTTGCTAGTTTACAATAATTGTACAAACCTTCCTCACCTAACTTCTGCTCTGTCATGAGAACTCTGGCTCTCGTAGTTTCTTGAAAACGCTGTTTCACTAAATTCAGAAAGTAGCTAAGCTCTGTGGGACTGATACCATGTCGTGACACTGGCCTTGGACAAGCCTCATAATAGTACTCTTGGCCCCCTATTTCCTTGCTTCTCTGTTAAGAAAAATCATTCACATTTGCTTTATACCACTGACAACTCTCTTTTTTATTTTCCTCAGATGCACCCATCTCTTGTCTTTTTTCATATTCTGGTCTCATTTTCTACCTTAGTTTTCTTGTAGTGACGTCTCTTTGTCTTTTGTAGGGTTGATCTTGGTATCTGGTACCTCACAGATGTTTTTGATGTTGAACCTTGCTGTGGATCCCTCCTGGGTGAGTGGCTCTAACGGGGCTCGTGTCACTTTTCCAGAGAGTCTGTTCAAGAGACATTCAGACTTTGTTCCTTGGTTAAGAAATTCTAGCAGCTTGTTGGCTGTGGTCAGCGGGGTCCAAGACAGGACTAGGAGAGCAGAGCCTTCCTTATGATCCAAACTTTCTGTGGTTTACTCTGCTGGGTATGAATACTCATTGACTCCTCAGTTCAGTAGGCTCAGGAAATGAAAAACAATTATAAAAAAGAGATGCTGCTAATTTTTATGAATGGAACAAGGGAAGGGTGTGCATCAGGGTTGTAATCTTTTTCTGTACTTATTCAAGATCAAGAACTGTAGTCTTTGATATGGATTGAAGATCAACATCAAGAAAACAAAGATTCTCACCACTGGGCCAATTGGAAGTTTCATGATGGATGGAGAAGAGATTGAGACCATTGATAACCTCAGCTTGCTGGCTCCACAGTCAACCCTCTTGGCACCAGCAGTCAGGAAATCAAAAGATGAATTGCATAGGGAAAGTCTGCTGTCAGGGATCTCTCCAGAGTATTGAAGAGGAACGATGACAGTCTGGTCTTCACAATTACTTGCTGTGTGTCAGAGAGCTGGACAATGATAGAAGAAGAATTAATGGTTTTGAATTGTGGTGCTGGAGAAGACAAACATACCGTGAATTGACAGGAGAACAAATAGGTTAGTCCTGAAGAAGGTGAAACAAGACTGCTCCCTGGAGACAAGGATTTTGAAGCTCCATCTTACACACTTTGGGTACATAGCCAGGTGGGACCATCCTTGGAAAAGAACATCATGTTTTGAAGAGTGGAGGGACAGCGTAGGAGAGGAAGAGCCAGGATAAGATGGATTGACTCAGTGATGGGTAAAGTGGGAATGGCTCTGTCAGAGACAATGAGATTGGCTCAGAATAGGGCAGGATTCAGAGCTGTCATACTCAGGATTTCTATAAGTTGCAGGCAGCTCGATAGCACATAACAGCAACATGCTGAGCAAATAGTTTGTGAATCTAGACTCTATGGAGAGGAATGTGGCATCAGAATTGGAGACAGACTCATCAACTTACATGCATTATATGCAGATGACACACAACTTTGCTTGCCCAAAGTGAGGAGGATATGAAACACTTGCTATAGAAAATCAAGGAGCATAGCATTTGATATGAATTGCATCTCGACCTCAAGAAAACATAGGTACTCACCACATGATCAACAGTCAACATCATGATAGATGGAGAAAGCTGTCAGTGATTTCATCATGCTTGGTTCAACAATTAATTCCCTTGGTACCAGCAATCAGGAAATCAAGAGATGTATAGAATTGGGAAAGTCTGCTATCAGAGACCTCTACAAAATGCTGAAGAGCAATGATATCAGTTTGAAGACTAAGGTACACCTGATTCAGTCCATGGTCTTCTCAATCACCTGCTACACTTTAGAGAGCCAGACAATAAATTAGGATGACACAAGAAGAATTGATGCCTTTGGGTTGGAGGTGCTGGGGAAGAATATGTATCCCATGGACTGCTAAAAACACAAACAGATGTCTTGGAAAAAGTACAGCCAGAGTGCTTCTTGGAGGCAAAAATGGTGAAGTTTTGCTTCTCATATTTTGAACATATAGCTAGGTGAAGCTATTCCTTGGAAAGGGGCATCATGCTTTGAAAAACTGAAGGTCAGCAAAGGAGAGGAAGACCTCCAACAAAACAGAGTGATATAGTTAACAATGGGCTCTGGTGTGCCAGAGATGGTGAGGACGTCACAGGGAAAAGTAGGGCTTAGATTGGCTTTCCATAGCATCTTTATGAGTTGTATTTGATTTGATGGTACCTACCAACAACAACAATGGAAAGAGGCTGGGGTAGCTAATGGATAGCACATCTCAAGCAAATAATAGAAAAACAAAGGAATTGACCTTTTACATACTTCAAATGCAAGAAGAAAGAGCCATTGGCTTCTCCCCTTTCTTCTAGAGGCTGGGGGTTGAGAGAAATTGCCTACAAAGAGTCAGAAACATGAATATTAGTATGGGAAATGTAAGAACATGGCTAAATGGGGAAATCTATAAAATCACTAATTTTCACAAATAATTCAAACGAGGAGACTTGGTTGTGTGGTGGGCTAAGTATTGGCCTACTAATATAGTAGATGATTAGACAACTTCAAGGATTTTCAGTTTTCTTTAGTGTTTAGTGTGTATAAATTGAATAGAAGTAGGAGCTTCCAGGATACACAAGGATAATTGAAAAACTTATCATACATCCTTTAAACATCATTCCTTTATAGAAGTTTGTATAATTTTGTTATGTGGATTTTAGGCTTCATAGTCCTGTAAATGCTAACAAATTTGACAGTGGCAGGATGGAATGAAGTTATTGACGGTTCCCTAACACTCACCTCACTTCCAACTCTCCCTGGGGCTTACACAGTGCTGTGGGTTCCTGGTTCTGAATATTAATTCTTGTTTGTTTTTAATTCTTGCTGTAGGTGGAACTATCCTCAGCATTTCAGGAATAGGGTTCAGCCAGGACCCAACCTCCGTTTGGGTTCTTGTGGGCAACCAGTCCTGTGGCATCGTGAACTTGACTGAGACAAACATCTGGTGCGAGAGCCCGCCTTTGCTGGGTGGTGTGAACACACTCACTGTCCCAGTCCCCGTGCAGGTCTGGATTGGAAATGTGTCCTTCTGCCAAAGACCATCACCAGCTTCTGTAGAGAAGGGCTTCACTTTCGTGTATGAAGCAGCTGCAACACCCGTGGTAACCGGGCTGAGAGCAGAAATCCTCAATAGCAGCTTGTGGCTCTTTGTGGAAGGAAAGAACATCTCTGAGTCAGTGATTCTTCTGGGGACCATGAACTGTGACCTTGAGACACACTCTTTCAGTGGCAACCTGAGCCTGTTTGGCTGTTCCTTTCCTCTTCACAGTCTGGAAGCTGGCGTCTATATGCTCCAAGTCCATCAGAAACGAATGGGATTTGCTAATATGTCTTCAGTGTCACAGCGATTGGTGGTGGCACCTCAGATAACATCCATCTTTCCAACACATGGTTCTACTTGTGGTGGGATGGTGGTCACAGTAAGGGGGTTGTCTCTCAGCTCGAGAAGGTCGTCTGTTCAGGTTGACCTCTCAGGCCCCTTTACCTGTGTCACTTTGAGTATGAGTGATCAGACAGTCCTCTGTCAGGTTAATCCAGTAGGTGACCCCTTGCATGGAATTTCCTTCATGCTGAACATGTCAGTTCTGGTGAGTGGGGTAGCCAGCGAATGTCGGGGAAACTGCACCCTCTTCTTGCAGGAAGAGTCAACTCCCACTGTGGATGCCTTGACCACTAATAGCAGCAGGGCCTTGACTACTGTGCTGATTAGCGGACAGAGGCTGGGCACCGCAGCTGATGAGCTGATGGTGTTTGTAGATGGCCATATTCCTTGTGAGGTGACTTCCTTCAGTGTAAGGCACGTGGCATGCCAGGTTAGGGACCTAACCCCAGGTCTGCACTACCTGTCAGCATTTCATAAGACAAATGGATATGCCTGTTTGAAAAATGTTTCTAAACACTTCTTCATTTTCCCTCAAGTGCTTCACTATTTCCCTAAGACTTTCAGCTTACATGGTGGGAGCCTCTTGACCATTGAGGGCACGGCCCTGAGAGGACAGAACACCACAGCAGTCTACATTGGCCAGCAGGCTTGCCTTTCCATAAACATCAGCACTGAACTCATTCAGTGTGTTGTTCCTGCAGGCAATGGCTCTGTTGTCCTGGAAATAGAGCTCGATGGACATTTGTATCCCATAGGAGACATTGATTACAGCGAGGCCTTCACCCCAGAATTGCTCTCTGTTTCTCAGACTGATGATGTTTTAACCTTTGTGGTGGCCAAGATCACAGGAGCTCAGCATACTGACATTTTTATTGGCATGTCCCCGTGTGTGGGTGTGTCTGGGAACCACACTGTTCTCCAGTGCAGCGTTCCTTCCCTCCCTGCTGGGGAGTACCAGGTCAGAGGCTTCGACAACGTGAGAGGCTGGGCCACTTCCACGCTGGTGTTCACATTGAGAGCTACCGTGACTGCAGTGACTGGGAACTTTGGTATGTGTCTTAGTATCCTTGTGCAGGGTAACAAAAACAAAAACAAACCAAAAAACACCTCAAATGAATGACTTTGAAGAACATGTATTTCTTATAGTCTTGAAAATTAAGAGGGCCGATTTCAAGGTGTCCACAGGACTGTACTTTCTCCATGTTGTTCTAGGGGAAGATTTCCCCTTCTTTTATCTTCTGGCAACCTTGGGCATTTCTTGTCTTCTATACAGATTGCTCACATACTGTTTCCTGTTGTGTTTCTCTTTCCCAACCTCAACTCTCTTTCTCTCTCTTTTTTTTTTGTATGTATATGCGTTGGAGTCAGTGAGACTGGCTCAGGATGTGTGGGGGTGTGGGTGGGGTTGTGGTTCAGAGCTATTGAACGTAGGGTCACTGAGTCACAGGCAACTCATTAGCACATAACAAGACACCAAATGCATAGGTTTAAGGTGGCCAGGTGATAAGAAACTATGCTGCAATCCTGAAGGCACGCAATTAGAATCCACCAGAAGCTCCACGGGAGAAGGGCAATCTCCTCCCATGTGATTATTGCTTCTGAACACACACTGGAGGGTGACTTATGGATTGATTCCAACTGGATGATACACAGCAACAACAACAAAGCCACACCATGAAGTCACTAATATATCTGATAACATCTTTAAAGAAAAAACCCGATTTTTCCAAACAATGTCATTCACAGGAACAGAGACTAGAACATCAATATATCTTTTTAGAGGTACAATTCATAACAAGGCAAGAAGACCAAGTCTTCATATGTATGGATTAAATAAAAGTCACCCTCACATCTGAGAGTTAGGACATCAGATTAATCTGAAAACCAAAAGGAGAAAACATACCTGGCCTTTCACTATTTCAATTTCTTTTTGAGATTTGTCTTGTTCATGTTCTGCCTGTAAGATCTGTACAGATTCTTTTAAAATTTTATTATTTTAGTTTTTTGTGCATTTACCATCAAATTGGATCTGACTGGTACAGGAGATTATCCCTTTTCCAGCAGAGCATCTGGTGGATTCGAACTGTACACCTGACTTGTACAGTTTTTATCATAGAAATTTGGTTCATTTTCTTAATATTGAATTATATTTTAATTTGCATTTGCATGACTTAATTTTTACTTAATGTGTTAAAAACTAATAATCACATGGTCATTTGTTTTTACCTATTTTTAGACCAATACATGAATTTGCATTATTTTATGCCTGTAAAATATATTTCATTTTTATCAGATGGTCATGTTTTTCAGATGAATTCATTCTTTGTCAATAATAAGGCTACAGCAGACTGACATTACATTTGTTAAACTTTTCCCCCATTTGAGAAATACTTTTTCTTTTAATGATAGCTCAGTTTCTGTTCTTTTAAAGTATTATGCTTGGATAGCTAAATTCTGAATATTATATAAAAACATAGAAGAAATTATGGAAACAAAATCTTCAACTGATAAGATACTAACCGAGAGGTTTCTTAGAATACACTTCTATGGCTTCAGCTGAGTGAAGTGAAATACAATGGGATTTGGATCTTGTATTTGTTACTCACTTGGGTGAATAGCTTTGACTACATTTTCTGTGGAAGCTTTCGATTTTTTTTAATTAATAAAGGGGTTTGGGACTGCATGGTACCTAATGTTCTTTTCATGCTCTGTGAGGCCATGATTTTTATGATACAGAGCAGAGGAGTGAAATGCCTCCTTACACTGAAAATATTCTTGAGCTTGTCAAATGGATGTGCAAGTACCTTGTAGACTTAAAGGTGCAATTCTGCTCTAGTATGGACTAAAGTTTTCTACCTTCTTGGAGTCCAGGTGCATGTAGCACTCAAACGACACTTCTTTTTATTAGTTTTCAGACTGAAGCAAAAACTGGCACTAGCTTTAGTGCCCACTAAGGTTTGTCATCCTTACAACTCATGAGAGATGCTGGTGGGATTATAAACAAAGCAACATTGTTTGGGGGTATTTGACATAATCCAGCAAAATTTTTCAAAGTATTACTTTTCTTTTGACTGGGCAATTCTTGATAATAGGATATGTAATTTGCAAAAAAAGGTATGGAATATATTCTTAAAATAAGTGCAGTACAAGGTAATAATTTTAACAAAATGGGATACATAATTGAAGTATCCATCTATAGGAAAATTTGCTAAATGAATTATGACAATCATGGAATAGAATAATAGGTAAAATTTATAAGCTTGATCTAGATGTAAAAGCTTTGAAAAAATTTATACTTGTAAGTAAAATAGATTACATGTGGTTAAGTATAGGATGATCCTGATTATCTATCTATCTATCTATCCATCTATGAAAATTTTGGAGGAATTCACAAGAAATGATTAATGGCTACTTTTGAGGAAAACATTAGGTAGTAAAGGAAACTTAATATTTTTTCTACAAACCCCCAAAATTATATATATTATACATATTGCATGTCTATAAAATTGAGTGCATGTCAGAACATCTATCTATATAGAATTTGGTGTGTGTAACAGCCCCCCCCCCAACTATCCTGTTAACATAATAGGTTGTTAAAAAAGACTTGTTTTGACAAAATAGACTCCAGATCCTGAAGGGTAGAATCTCACCACCGAGAGATAAAATTGTGGAGATTAAACTAGAGTACTAGGGATTTAAAGCTAGTAGTATGGATTTTGGAGGTGTAAGAAGAAGGATGGTCGATAAGAAAACAAAGGGTTGAGTTTTGAGTTAAATAAAGTATTGCTTCTATTGTTGAGAACTTATGGCTTTATCTTTAAAGGCTTCTTGGGTGGAAAGCTTGTGCATGTGTCTGGCGCAGGATTTTCCCCAGGGAACATCTCAGCTGCTGTGTGTGGTGCTCCTTGCCAAGTCTTGGATAATGCTACGGTATCTGCATTCAGCTGTTTCGTTCTGCCACTGGATGGTAAGTAAAACTTGCAGAGATTTGTTTTAAAGTATGTGTATGAAGCTGGTATTCTTTAGGCTAACTCAATTTTTGTGATTAACCACTGCTTTTGTGTGTGTGTGTATTAACCACTGCTTTTCTATACATCTTTGGGATAAAACTTTCTCTCCATCAGAAATTGTTCTTAAAATATAAAGCTATCCATTAAAATGGTTCTGTAATAACTAGTCACAGTAATGAGTCAGTGTTAATTAACAACCACAAATTCATTATCAGTCTTCTTGAATTCAATCATGTGATGATGGGGACAGTGACTCTGAGTTTTGAATATTAATTTAAATGATAGTCATAGGCATGATGACTTTAATATGATAAAAAGCAAGGATAGGGGAAAAAAGAATAAAAGAGCAAGGATGTTTAAAGACTAAGGTGCACCTGAACCAAAGAAAAGTATTTTCAGTGGCTGTATATGCATATGAAAGTTGGACAATGAACAAAGGAGACTTAAAAAAGCATTATTGCCTTTGAATTCAAGTATTAGTGAAAAATATTGATAATATCGTGGAGTACTGGAACAACAGCAACAGAACAGTTTTGGACAAAGTGTAGCCAGACTGGTGAGACTTTATCTTACATACTTTGAAAAAGACTTCATATCTGGAAAACTAGTCCGTGAAAGAGAAGATGACTCTACATGAGGTGGGTGACGTAGTGACTGAACAGTGGGCTTACACACAGTGGTGATTGTCAGGATGATGCGGCATCAGGCAGGATTTCATTCTCTGCAGGGTCACTGTGGGTCAGAGCTGACTCGATGGTGTGTGACAACAGCAATAATAAAGTAATGGAGACCACCAAGGGGATTATTTTTGGAACGTTGACCTTATAATCAAAAGAATAATTGTTAATATTATCTTCCAGTTCTATAATTGCCCTGGTACCTTACTTAGACACTATGATCATTCACTAATTTAAGTCATACATTGTAACAAGGGAGCTCCTGTGGCCTAGTGGTAAGAAGCTGAGCTGCAATCCTGAAGGCTTGCAGTTCTAATCCACCAGTTGCTCCGCCAGAGAAGGATGAGCAATCTCCTTCCGTTTGATTAACTGCTTCTGAAAATCTACCAGAGTGTCAGCTGTAGGTTGGTTCTGACTTGTCAGTACACACCAAAAACATTGCAATATTAATTGTTATGTTATTGTTGTTGTTAAGTGCCATCGAGTTGTAGGCGGCTCACAGGGACCCTATGAACAAAAGTCCTCAACACTTGCATGCGTGACTTTCCTCCTTTCTCCAGGTTCATAGGGTTTCTGGAGGCAAGCTTTATGGAAGTGGATGCCACTCCTGCTTCCCAGCTTGTTTCAACAAGGGAGCACCATCAAACACTGTCCCCCATAGGTAACAGTTATCGCCTAATAACTTTTATACTGAATGATAAATTTTTGTGGGATGGAGAAGTTAGAGATGAAGGTACAAGTTGTTGACATTCTCGGTTAGGGTGTCAATAAATGATGATTTCTCCTTAAGCTTTAAAAAATGTAAAGAGAGAAATGATTGTTTTTACAATAGGGAAAACTTTAGCCAGTTCACCGTCTTTATTTCTATAATTGATAAAAACTCTTATAACTATTCACTTAAAAATGCTCACTACACATTCTGAGTAGTGATTTAAATTGCATATCTTTTTTTTTTTTTTGTCTGAACCCTGAACCTAAGCTAAGGACCTACAAAGTAATACAAGTTTCATTTCATTTGACTTGATGGTGGACGATAATTCCAAGATGAATAGTACTATCATGATGACAGTTTACATTGTATTTTAGAAGTAATTTTCATTTCGAATCTAAGAATAAGTTTTCTGTTATTATTAGGTACTTAAGGGAAACATTAATGAAGGGATATTAACTCCACTTAAGCCTTTAAAACAGACCACAGAGGATCCATGAAAATTTATGTTCAAGATGTGGTCTGTTCATTCAAAAAGTTAAATGCTCAACTGCTCACCACAAAGTTAGCAGTTTAAACCCATCTAGGAGTGCCTTGGAAGACAGAATTGATGAGGTGCTTCTGAAAGTTCACAGTGTTTAAATCTGATGGAGTTCACATATGGGGTTCCCATCAGTCACAATCGACTCAATGACAATTAACTACTGCTGCATTTACTGTATATGTGAGAGAGTGTGTTTGGTGCAGGGCAGGGGCAGGATTCATGTTTGGTAAAAGGATAAATAAAAGAATCGGGCAGCAGTGGAAATAGGACTTTACATTTCTGGGTGAGATGCTTTGTGGAGGCAAGGATGGTGAAACTTTGTTCCTCAGACTTTGGACATGTTATTAGGAGAGGCTATTCCTTGGAGTAACTCTGTGAACTTGGAGAAATGATGAAAGTTATACAAGTGTTCAGGTCTTTTGTTCATAGGGTCACTATGAGTTGTCTATGACTCAAGACACTTAACAACAACAATGACAATGAGAGAGCTCTATTGGCCTAGTAGATAGAAAGTTATGCTACCAAGTCAAAGGTGGGTGATTTTAATCTGTGGTCCTCAGGCCTGGTTTTAATTGTTTTTAGTCAAACATTCTTCTAAGTAGTATAACACTGATGTGTCTGTCCATTTGCTGTACAGAAGTAACTAGTGGTTACTGTGATGCTAAACACTGTGACACTGATGTGTCAAATACGGTAATGGTTACCCATGGTGAACAGTGTTTGGTGGAGCTCCCTGATTAAAACAAGCTTGGAAGCAGGAGTAGCATCCACTTCCGAAATAGCTTGCCTCTGAAATCCCTATCACCTGGAGAAAAGATGAAAGTTATATAAGTGTTCAGGTCTTTTGTTCATAGGGTCATTATGAGTCATCTATGAATAGATGACACTTAACAACAACAACAACATTCCTTGGAGGGGCATATCATGCTTGGAAATGTGAAGGGTCAATGAAAGAGAGGAAGACCTCCAGTGAGGTGGGTTGGCATGTTGACTGCAGCAATGGGCTCAAGTGCATCAGAGGTGATGAGGATGACTCAGGATAGGTCAGGACTCAGGTCTGGAGTCACTATGAATCATCCTCGACTTGATAGCACCTAACAACAGCAAGTCTTTAATAGTGCTACACTTTGAGTTCATGTTTAAGTTTTTAACATTTATACTGATTAAGTTGCTAAACTTTTTAAAGTTTCTTCTGGTTATTTCTTAGTGCTCAGCTCAAACCCACTAGCTACTGTAAAGGAGAAAAATGTGATAATCTGTTTCATATACATTTACAACCTTGAAAAGCTGGTGTGATAATTCTGCTTTGTTCTATTGTTCTATGTTTTCTATGATGCCTATGGATTAGTATTATTTTCAGAGATTGAATTTAAATTAGTGTTGTTATGTGCTGTCAAGTCACCTGCAACTCATAGTGACCCTGTGTACAGTAGCTCTAAAGCCTGCCTTGTTTTGAGCTGTCTCACTGACTCCAATACACCTAGCCCCATTGCTTCAGTTACTATATCCCATCTCATCTGGGGTCTTCCTCTCTTGCGCTATCCCTCCACCCTTCAAAGCCTGATATCCTTCTCTACGGATTGGTCCCTCCTGGTCACATGCCCAAAGTATGTGATATGAAGCTTCAAAGTCCTAACCTCCAAAGAGAAATTTGCTTCCACCCTCTCCAAGACAGACCTATTTGTTTTCTTGGCAGTCCATGGTATGTTCAAGACTCTTCTCTAGCACTTGTAACTCAAAGACATCAATTCGTCTTCTATCCTCTTTACTCATTATCCAGCTCTTTAATGGATAGCAAGTAATTGCAAAGATCAATAAAGAAATTTCAGGGGCACATTTTGGAACTTGAGGTAGCTTCAAGGAAAAAGAATAGAAGTGAGTATATTTGAAATGTTTTCATTAGGTTTTAGAAACACACTTTTTCAATCAACTTGTAACAGATTCCTAGCCGACCCTCCAGTGAGGTTTTGAAGGCTGAAATCACACTGGAGGAGACTGTCCATCTTTATCCCAGGGAGCAGTTAGTAGATTTGAACTTTTGGAGAAGTGTAGCCTGTGGATTCGCTGCATAACTCCCTGTGGACTATGCCACCAGAATTTCTTAAGAAAAAGAAAGAGTTAACAATAAGGTTGGCAGCGGTGGGATTCGAACCCACGCCCCCGGAGAGACTGAAGCCTTAATCCAGCGCCTTAGACCGCTCGGCCATGCTACCTCTCGCAAACATATAAATCAGGGTTGGGGTATGACAGAAAAAACTGGATAAATTATGTATATTGTATTGAAACAGATGAGGGAAAGAACAGATTAGAGGTGATATATGATTGAGTATTATGGTTAGCACAGGAATCCAGAATTAAGGTTGCATAGAGAAGTGTACTCGGGGTGGGGGTTGGGGGGAAGGGATGTGGGAATTGTATACTAATGAAGGAATATTTTTTTTCTTTTCTTTTTCTCTTCGGAGGGGGGAGCGAGCTGGTGGGGAAGGGTGGGCAGGAAGAAAAGTGCGGCAATGAATGAATGGAAATTCAAAACCTCTGTAAATGTCTATTAAAATTAATAATAAAAAAAGGAAAGAAAAAAAAGGCGAGTAAAAAAATTGCAACTTTCAACATTACCAGTAGGTGTCACCAAACACTCATTGATTATCCAAGGAAACTTGAGAAATGCATAATTTAAAAAAAAAATCCTTTTACAGACATTTAATCGTGATATCTATAGATGAAGAGAACCTGGGAGCATTGACTCCAGAAGTTCTTTCCTTATGACCCAGGAAGGCATTGGGACCTTCTATAAACGAGAGAGAGAGACAGAGAGACAGAGACAGACAGAGATACACACACACACACACACACACACACACACACACACACCCCTGGAGCAGAGGGACTCCAACAATGGCCTTGAGCTGGGTAGAGATTGTGATTATGGTGCTAGATAAGGCAAGGTTCTTATGTGTTGGCCATGGGGTCATTATTAGCCCTCGTTATCTCAAAGGCACCTGCCAGGAACATCACCATGTGAAACCA